ATGTAAGTTACAGTTCATATATTCCATTTTATAAGCATTTAACTGTTTATAAAATCAGCTGAACGTCTTCATACCTCAACCTCCAACTCTTGGACTTTGGGATTGTGGATGAGGAAGGTGAAGGTTTCCTCCCACAACGGTTCATGAGTCTTATACTTGGTCTGGAAACAGACAGAAAGGAAGAGAAGAAGAAAGTATTAAGCCAAGATGGATCATACATTCAAAGTCAAGAAGCAAGTGCACAGGGACAGGGCTCACGTGCTGTGAACCAATCACAGCCTGAACGTACATTTATTTACATTTATTAAAGCTTTGATTCAATTCATTTATCAGCCTTTTATGTACAAAAAATAGCTGCAATTTTCATAATTGGCATCTTGGGAAATTAATAAATCAACCACAGTTAGCACAAATGTGGATTTTACGTGCTCTCACCTTACTCTCGTAGGACTTGTGTCCCACTCTGAACTGGACAAATGGGCTGGGATCACTGGTCACCTTCTTACCAGACTACAGCAGGAAAAACAAACAAACAAACAAACAAACAAACAAACAAACAAACAAACAGTAATAATATTGGACTGGGTATGCTAGCATTATATATAACAAGAGTGAGTGTTTCTTTGGACTTCAATTTGAAACAAAAGGAGTGACACTGTACTCCACTGATTAAATTAATTTCTATCTCACACAGTGTCATTTTGTGACTTTTCAAGAAAGGAATTAAAGAAAAAAAGGACATCAGAGTGCCCAGAACCAGTTAGTGTAGAAACCACACCAGATCATTGTAAAAGAAAAGATTAGAGTCAAAAAAAATTTCAACTGTAGCTCAGACAACAACGCTGTTAGAATCGGTTTTAGTCAACAAACACGATGAGAGGAGTTTGTTAATGAGTTTTAAAAACAGGAAACACGATCAGTTGTGAAGTTGCTCTGGATGCTACAGCAGCACTTCCTAATGCAAACATGACCTAATGAGTTTTAATACAACAATCCAGATTTTTAGATGTTTGATGTGATTATTTAGTCTGCGAACAGCAATAAAAGCAACATTAAAATATTTAAAAGAAGCATGTCTTTGCTGAAAATCCCCACAGACCTCTTTGCAAATCGCTTCAAACAGGAACTATTTTCTTCTGGCAAAAGTAGTTCCAGTGAAAGCTCTTAATAGTGGGTCTGTGAACCATCACAACAGACATGTTAGTCTCACTGTAAATATTTTAAATGCAATTCTTGGAGCTTGGTTGACCATTTCAAATAAAAGTCCTTGACTGTTTAAGGTTGCCACAACTTTCCCTAAAAGTTGTCTTGAGTGTCTAAATCAGTAATAGTATCCAGAGAATTGGTAAAGGGTATCGCCACAAATCAGCTGTGACTTCTGACTTTTAGAAGAACTACAAAATAACTATCAGTAGCAAAACTTGTAGCAACGGGAAACTGAGAAACAAATTCAGATTACTCAGATCAGTTTTAGACTTTTTTCCCTGAATGTGCTTAAACTGCTTCATATACTACATGGCCAAAAGTATGTGG